TTTCTGCAGTGCAGTTCTGTACTGTGCAGCTGGTACAGGTTGGATGAGGGTCCGAATCTGAAAAACGTAATTTACATTGGTTACATGTTTTCATGCTCTCCGATAGGGGCTGCATTTGAGTCCAAATTACGAAAATTCTAATGCCAAATATATAAAATAATCGTTAGATATGATGTATAGAATATCACAGAAAATAATCCAAGCAAAAGATTTTGTTTGGAATTTTTATGGAAAGCTTGGATTATGATGCACAGAAAAAAATTTCAAGCTGCCAAGATGGCGCGAAAAAGAGAAAGTGATGAGTTACTGGGCTTGGTCACATGGTTACGGTGCGCATGCGCAGAGTGAGGGTGTGTTTGGGTGAGCTGTTTTCTCTGTTCTTTGGGGACAGCATAGGACGTTTCCACTACCTATTCGGAAGAGAGAGAGATAAGCAATAAGTATGAGTCAGGATAAGATAAAATACAATTTATTGTAAAATTTACAAAACTCAATGAAGTCATCAACACACCTTTGCCTTGGGTTATTTGATGTTGATGTGATGCTAGGGTCCTTATCATATTGTTCCATTTTAGGATCACTAGGTCTTCTTGCATTCTGCTCTTCTACAGAAACAAATTCAATAAATGTCACAATGCAGAATGATTTATCATGATACTGAAGTAGAGAGCATTTCATAACAAGCAAGAAGACGCATGTTTGTACATCTAATGCCATAAATCAACTGGAAAGCGTTTACAGGCATTGTTAAAAAGCAGCTCCCGTCCCAAGCCATGTAGCCATGCTTCACATTAGAACTTACACCTACTATTTCATCTTTCCGAGGCAATTGCATATCACCAGCCCATTAAGTTCCCTGCCTTGCCCTTTTTAATGAGCAATACCTGGCTCGATCCCAGTCTTCAAGACAGAACACCATTTGTAGACAAAGAACTGAAACTGAAGCTTAAATCCTCAACATTTCAAAAGTCAGAAGAGCATACATCTACTTACTCATGCATAACAAACATACCTGGTGCATTTGGCAGGTCACAATTTCTGCTAAGATCCACACTACTGATCTCAGAGACTGTCCTAGATTGGTAACAGAGATTATGAAAAATATTAGACATAAAACCATAGTTTTTTGGAAGAAGGGGAAGAGAGAGAGCGAGAATTGTGCACAGAATATTTCAATCAAATCACAGCGGCCAGCTTTCAGGGGGCAGAACAGTAAAGTAGTGTTACTGCAGCCTATCCTCACTAGATGCGGAATGTTAATCCACCCTAGACATCTTGGATGACATGCAAAGCACTGATCAATTATATCAGAGAAAACACGACAGACACTTCAAACAATTTTATCCATGCTTTAAATTAGTAAAATCTAAATATTTTTTACATTTGTATACTTATCCTGCATGACTCCGTATTGCATTTACTGCTGTCTTTGACAGAGAGACGAACTGTGTGAGATCCAGCTGCTAAAGAAAGTTGTCCCAACCAGTACAGGAGGCAGCACCCTCTCACAGTCGGCATGTGACCCGGAAGTCATGACGTCACATCAAAACACATAACTGCTTGAAACATAACATCTGAAACTCCGTGGGGAGGCAGTGTAGAGAAGGGAGGGCACTTAAGACTTCGTAATGCAGGATAAGTATACAAATGTAAAAAATATTTAGATTTTAGTAAATTTTTTAACTTATCCTGCATTACTCCGTATTGCATCTTTATCAGACTGCCCTGTCAGTGGGCATACCTTCAGATGTGATCCCTAATAAACTCTCGCCAAGGTCCGATGAATCCGTACCGCATACAAGTGATGACCGGAACATCTTCGACCGTTCCTGTCTTCAGGAAACAAGACTGAAGAGTCGATGCAAAAACGAAACACCTGAATAGGTAACCGAAATAGAATGAGGCGGGTAGCCAAAAACTAGACCTTACCTAAGAGCAAAAGCGAAACGCAGTAGAGCCCTCTTATCTGAGGTGATACACACAAGAGAGTTCAACAGGCCACACTCGGGGTATCGAAGAATCAGTGGCGTCGGTGATAGGTGACTTGTTGGGCTACAACAAGGGACCAAACTTGTGAACGCCGGCGACATCTTCCAAGGCTACATCACAGAGGTAGTGGTTGGCGAAGGCAGTGTCCGATCGCCAAGAACAGGCTTCAATGAGCGACTGGATGGAACAGTTTTACTGTGAAGAGCCATGGTAAATGCAATAGCCCTGATCTCGTGTGGGTTGATAGATAGCCTTGCGGGGGAGGGTCCACTCGGGCGGCTTCATAAGCTTTGAGGATTACAGCCCGGAGACACAGGGAAAAGTATTCTGGCTGACCAACGACTGCGACAACTGGGAGACCGACAGGAAAAAGGTGTTTCCTAGACTTGTGGAAGGCTTTAGAGCGTCGTAGCAAACCTTCAGTGCCCTTACTGGGCATAATGACGCTCCTCCTCATCCTCGGCACCCACAATGGACAAGGTGGAGGGGATAATAAATGATCTATCAGGCTGTCCTGGGAGTCGATTCTTTACGATGAAGTCCAAGCACGGTCCATGATGAACAGCGCCCTGAGTACCGCGTGCGAACCGGACACAGAGGACATCGAGGGCGGGGAGCTCATTGACCTGAGCGGCATTAGTCAAAACCAGTAGAAACACTGACTTCTTCCTTAGGTCGTAGAAGGAAGACGAGTGGAGTGGTTGGAAGGGAGCAGTCCGAAGGGCGTTTAAGACCACATTCAGATTCAAGACAGGCGGTCTGAACTTGGCCTTCTGGTCTTCAAGATGGAATGAGAGCAGCCAGGCCTGTAGTTTGGGAAAAGTTGGACCACACCGACCAAAAGTGTCAGGTACAGAGTGCCCTGGATCTTTAAAGAACTGTGGGAGGGAGAACCAGAGGCGGAAAAGCGTACACGTGTAATCCTTCCCAAGAAAAACTGAAGGCGTTGACTGCACAGCGGCCGGATCCGGCACTGGTGAAATGTAAGGCGACAGCTGGCAGTTCAGAGATGTGGCGAACAGATCGATGTTTGGGGTGTCTACCATTTGACATAGTCCGGCGAAGACCTCTTGGTGGAGCTTCCATTCGGTGGGAGCCACCTAGTTAGGCCTGGACAAAGCCTGTACCAGAACATGCTCTCAACCTGGTGAGTGCAAGACAAGCTCCTTTTTCTTAAAGTAGAGGTCCAGGCTGACCAAGTCGAAAAAGTGGAGGGTCTGATTTTTGCAGGGATGGAGAGTGGAGATGTTGTCAGTGGACATGATCAACAGGGCGTGACCGAGAATTCTCTGCCAGGAAGTGGCGTCCTGGATAAGCGCTTTGATCTCGAGGCTGTTGCTGTGCCAATGGTGTTGATCACAGTCGGTCACAACGTGGGCTGGGGTGGGTAATCCCAGAACACTAGCCACTGACAAAAGTCATGGTATATGAGGTCGTCTACAAGAATGAAGTTGAAAAGTCGGGACGCTACGTGGAGAGGTGTGCTCGCATGCGAACCAAACCCTGTGTAGACAAAATAAACCAGCTTCACAATCGACCGCTGAGGTATTGACGGAACCTGGTAGTCAGAAGTCGAGGCAAAATGTCCAGAAGAGAATGAGGACATCTGTAAAACTGTGGTTTGGGTAGATCGCACCTTACTGCCCGAAGTAATGTGTAATTGTTTCCATCCTGAGTCGTAAAAGCCCTCCTGTTCTTATATCGAGGTGACAATGAAGGACGACAACACAACACTAGGCAAGTCGTCAACAGGAGTCAATGGAACGGTATATAATCAACGCTGTGTCTGGTGGCCAAGGCTGAAGATATGAAGGTGTCTTAGTCTAAAAGATCAAACCGTACAAAGGAAGGCGATCTTTTCCATCCCTTGAATGCTGTATAAGCGCTATCATTCTTATACCGAGGGGGGCGATGAAATGAGGTGCCTCACGACAGCCGTGTTGGCAGCGGAGTTCTATCGTTGCCATCATCTGTGCATGGATGGACTGCGACAGGCGTCTGGTTGAGTGGTTGCACCATGCATACATGTAAGCATGCAAACCAATTTGTAGAAATACATTGCACCGCTCACCATGGTCAGTTGACCTAATTCCCTGTCAGTCCAAGCACTTGACACATGACATGTAAATCACTCTGTGCAGTAGCCGAGAAAACCGCATTGGAGCGGGAAATGAGGTGCAATCTCCACAAGCAGACAATCCCTAATGAACAAACAAGTTGTGTACCCGAGTTTTGCGAAAAAATGCAGCAGCACCGCGGAAAACCTGGGGAGCGCCGAGGAAGAGTCTCTTTGAGGAACGCTGGCGCTAGGGCAGGGTATAGGAGCGATGTTCACGAAGAAGAAAGTGGATGTCGTCTTCGTTGAATGGCGGGGCTGGTGCAGAGCGATATGATACACCGTGATATGTGAGACCAGTCAACCATGATACCAAGAAGTGGGTACAACAGGCTTAATGAGCCTGAACAGGTAAGATCTGCCAGTTCTGATACAGATGCTGTCCACCAGAAGCTCTGTTTCGAAGGAAATCCGCAGGTCATCTCTCCGAAAGCATGGCGCTTTAAACAACGGGGTTAAGGAGAATGTTGCAAGTGGACAAGTTGAATCATACCAATTGTCTGTTGGTTGAAAAGATTCCTCCCAAGTTAAACGATAGTCACGATCCTGAAGACCTACGGGAGAGCAGCGAAAGGAGCGGCGACAATTGAAAGACAAATGTTTCACCTGCTTCCCCGTGTGACGATTTATGAGATGTCAGTAATAGAAGCAGATGTCAGTGGCGCTGGAGAGGCGATTGCCGATGGCGCCCCTTATGTTGAAGTAGAAGATCGGTTGAGATACCCAGCTTGTTGATCTGAGCTTGTTAAAGCTTGTTGATCTGGTTTCGGGGGCACCAGGAGCGCCAAAGGCACCGGAGGTGTTGGTAGTGCCGGAGGGGCTGGGAAGCTCCACTAAGCGCGGCTGCTGTAAACGTAGATCGCTGAGGAAACGGAGACCTGTCCTGTGACGGGCGTCACCGGAAGGGGGCGATGTTGCCGACAAAGGTGACGGCAAGGGTGGTGTAGAAAGACCGCAATCTCCGAGTTGTAAGCCATATCAGGGGGTCGATGAGCATGTTGAGTGAGGTGTGTCCTGGATACTCGTATCGAGTTGAAGGAGCACAGCGACGAAGGACTGCAACATCGGCACGATGAATGTAAAAACACGCAAAATATAGAAACAATAAGCTTTAATTTCAACAAGGCAGCGTTAGAAATTGGCACTAGTCCTATAGTCCTTGCCAAACTGGCCAATTATTAAGGTATCATAAGGACTAGTAGAAATTTGCCATTTTTAAGGGTTTTGCTATATGTTATCATTATAAGGACTAGTGGACTAAATATGTTAGTTTCTACCCCTGCAAGGGATACAAAGTACGTCTGTCTGTGGAGGTGACAAAGCAATTATGTGTTTTGATGTGACGTCATGACTTCCGGGTCATATGCAGACTGTTGGAAGGCGCTGCCTCCTGTACTGGTTGGGACAACTTTCTTTAGCAGCTGGATCTCACACAGTTTGTCTCTCTGTCAAAAGAAAGCAGTAAATGCAATACGGAGTAATGTAGGATAAGTTAAAAATTTACTGCTCTTTGTTTGATAAATAAATTTCATTCTCCTTTCATTTAAGACTTATACTGACCAGCAAAATAGAATTCTTGATTAATTACCAGTTTTACTTTGATCAGTCACTTGCAATGGAATTTCCATGGACCAATCAGATTCACCATCACTACTGTCTGGAACATGTGCTGATCCACTGTCGCAGCTATCTCCAACATCCCTTTTATCATCGTCAATCAGTACATAAGTCTGAACATGATGAATACCTGGTAAAAGTTAATAAAGTATAAAGGTTACTAAAACAATGCAAGAGGTGTGGAATTTCCAATCCCCTATCTCTTGGGTCAATAACTGTTCAGATTAAAGGGACTAGCCATGCCGTAAAATTCCAATCGGCATTATATGGAACTGACTTCTACCAGATACCAGCATTATTACTGTAAACCTTCCAACAATGTGATAAAAACAATTGAAATATGCAGTGTAGAAGATCATTTTGGTGCGTACAATGATAACATGGCAAATGGCAAACAAAACTAAAAATGTTTATGTTTATGTTCATGCACCCATTTTTCCAAAGTGCATTCTCAAAGTGGAAAGAAAAACAAAGATGGCTTACATTTTGAACTACTGAAGAACAAATCCCAACAATGCCTTCACTTTATGTATTTAAAAAAAATGATATTCATCTTGCTAAAGATTTTGTGCTTTCAAATAACCAGATTATGTGCAGAGAAATTATATGTACATTGAATCTATAAGTTTTCTTTTAGTTGTTTCCTCACCTGTATGGTCCATATTGGCAATATCACCCATGGCCATGTCTGCTTTACTGTCAGCACAGTCATTCTTGTCTTCAGCAACATCTCCACTGGGAACATCATCCTCGTTAATGTCTGCTTCACTGTCAGCACAGTCATTCTTGTCTTCAGCAACATCTCCACTGGGAACATCATCCTCGTTCATGTCTGCTTCACTGTCAGCACAGTCATTCTTGTCTTCAGCAACATCTCCACTGGGAACATCATCCTCGTTAATGTCTGCTTCACTGTCAGCACAGTCATTCTTGTCTTCAGCAACATCTCCACTGGGAACATCATCCTCGTTCATGTCTGCTTCACTGTCAGCACAGTCATTCTTGTCTTCAGCAACATCTCCACTGGGAACATCATCCTCGTTAATGTCTGCTTCACTGTCAGCACAGTCATTCTTGTCTTCAGCAACATCTCCACTGGGAACATCATCCTTGTTAATGTCTGCTTCACTGTCAGCACAGTCATTCTTGTCTTCAGCAACATCTCCACTGGGAACATCATCCTCGTTCATGTCTGCTTCACTGTCAGCACAGTCATTCTTGTCTTCAGCAACATCTCCACTGGGAACATCATCCTCGTTAATGTCTGCTTCACTGTCAGCACAGTCATTCTTGTCTTCAGCAACATCTCCACTGGGAACATCATCCTCGTTCATGTCTGCTTCACTGTCAGCACAGTCATTCTTGTCTTCAGCAACATCTTTGACTTGCCCATTGCTGTCAGTTTCTCCTCCAAACTGCATAACACCTGTAAACAGAAATAGTGTCATTACAATCATTGTTTAATTTGAAGTTTCCACGATATACAGCTTTTCCATTGGACTAGAGGTCGGTCACATGACCGCGTAATTGACGTTCATAATGTAAGAACGACACAATTTGAAGTTCATACGTTTTTCATGAGATCATGTTCTTAAAATTACGTACTTAAAATGACTTAAAATGACATAAACTCGGACAGACTACTTCCGCATTCCTGGGGAAACCCCTGGGAATTCCCTAGCATGAAAACATACATTAGCGTTCTTTCTGATAATTTATAACCTTTATTCTTGATCTCAGCGTTTCAGTAAACATTAAGAAATGAAAGAGCGTGACTGCATGATTGTTCACGAATATCCTTGCTGTGGCCTTTCCTAGTGAGTGAGTGAGTGAGTGCCCCACTGTAATATCAGTGAGTTAATTGGTTTGGTATGACGCCACTTGAGTGAGTGAGTGAATATGGTTTTACGCCGCTTCTAGCAATATTCCAGCAAAATCACGGCGGGGGACACCAGAAATGGGCTTCACACATTGTACCCATGTCAGGAATCGAACCCAGGTCTTCGGTGTGACGAGCAAACGCTTTAACCACTAGGCCACCAGGACCGCCCCCTCTTTCCTAATGAACAAACAAAAAAATGCACATCTAAACTATCGTAGTATCGACTCAATCCGTGCCTAGGCTGATGTTGATCGTCTCCAGAATCTATGAATTTACCATAGTGTCTGTTTGACACATCTTTATTCGCCTTTCAATGATCGGCCAGTTGATCAATGGTGACTTACATGTAACTGCCACAGTTTCATTAACAATTTCGGAAATCTCTCCCATCACGTTATCGTGTCGGCCATTTTGACGTCTTGTACTTCATGTAAATGTATCACGACAAGCTGTCATTGTGACTGACTTACTGAGGTAGTTCTTTACTGACCTTTCTCATCTAATGATGATATGATTTGAATACATGTGTTGCATAAGATGTTTCTGAAGAGTAAGTTGTGCATCAATTCGCCGATGTCACCTCCCTTTTTGAGGAACTATTTTACACCGCGATATAGCTGGTTATTGTATGGCTGTCAGTGTAAACATGAAGTCACACTTACTCAATAAAATTGTTTTTAGATCTTGACCTACATCCTTTGAGGTAAGAAATTGTGATAAAAAAATTATAAGAATTGACTTTCACTTTGTGTGAGTTCATTGGAGTATGAACCTTCATAGAGTTGGGGGCAAACTGTATGAACGTTGGAGCTTGCGATGACATTCATACAGTTTGGCCCTCACTCTATGAAGGTTCATACTCCAATGAACTCACACAAAGTGAAGTCAATTCTTAAATCAAGTGCACATTGATCAAGTTTTCATAGTTAACTAGTTTATATACCAAGGTATTATCGCTAAGGATAAACCAAACAAAATACACTTTATTTTATGAATTTTAAATTTCAGAAAATAAGTGTTTTATTTTAATGCAGCAACTATGTCGGTGATAAATTTAGGTTTCATCTTTTTCATAGTGATAATCTTGTCATAAAGCATAGAACTGGCTCTCAGCATTAGACCCCCCACCAAAGACAATAAATAGATCTTAGTTGTGTCGATAAAGCTGAAAACATGCAGAAAAATGACTCCGCTTACATTTATATGTTTCAATAGGACTAAACCTCGAAATTGAATATCAATCCAAATATCGAAAGAAATTGACATCAACAGAAGTTCTAAAATGTCATGCGACAATCTCGGTGACATTCATTGGAACCACATTTCAAACAAACAAGTTGTACTTTGAATAACTTGGTAGTCATAGATTAAAAATCACTTACGTAAGTATTTGATTCAAGCTGTCGTGCGCAACCCTCCTGATGTTTTGGCGCCAAAACAAAATGGAGCCTGAAACACGTGGTCAAAGCTCCACACATACATAAAATTCATCATGTGACAATATTAACTGTATCGCATAAAGACAATGTGGTGTTTCGAGTTCCTGAGAAATGCCGATGTACATGCAGTTTGCTCCCTGTAGAATGCTTGACGTGATCGATGCATTAACAACTCGCTCTCCATGATATTTTAGACATATAAATAATTCGAGAAATATCAAAAATCGTCATTTGGGGAGGATAAGCGTAATAGCCTCATTTTAGACCCAAAAGCGTAATGGTTGGCATCGCTGCTGCATGAAATCATTGTAACTTGCAAATTCCTACATAAATTGTGTTTCTGGAAAAGGTTGACTGATGTAACTTCTGGGGCCAAATCATGCTTGCATTTTAATGTTTCACAAAACCTGTCTGGTGTGTGTTTATCCCCACTAACACCTAGCCTCATGCCAAATATCAACAGAGCTTCTGAAGAAACGACCGACCAAAGGGAGTTATGGCCATGGAGTACTGTCGGACTGGAAAATGAAATGAAATTTGGCCCCAGGCCCGCAATTGAAAAACCACTGAATTGACCAATGTATATCGTTATAAAAAACATTTTCGCACCAAGTAGGATTCTTGCGAAAACACGTTTTCTTGTAAACAAAAGCAAAACTCAGAAAAAAAATCAGCGTGAGTAAAGAAATATGAAACAGATTATAACAGTTACCTGTCGCCAGGTGAAGGCTCGCGAGGTGCTCCCCTCAGGAGTAATCAGAACATGTGTGACAATGTACACACGTGCTTTGCAGTAAGGTGTGTCTCTTGTTGTGTTGTTGTTGGTATTTGATTGTAAAATCGTTATCTGTTTTCTGACAATTTATTGTAAACCAATTGGCATGTAAATATAGGTTTTTCATGAAATGTCATTGCTGACAAATGACAGAAAACGAAATCATCTCGTTTTTCACTAAAAGTTTCTGGAGTAAAGTGTAATTTATATGCTGCATTGCCCAGTCCTATTCTAATCCCAAATTGATATTCTGAGGATTTCTCACTTAAATATGGGGAACCAATTATTGATTTTGAAATATCATTTTATTTATATTTTCGTCAGTACTTTAAGTGGTAGTTTCATTGCTGCCATGGTGGTCACATCTTGGATAGGAAGGGCTTGAACAAATTCAGGTGTCCTCATACATGGAAACAAGGATGCCAAGCTTCACCTTCATGGGTTCAGTGGATTTGGAGATGTTCTGCTTGCCAAAACAATTGGCATAGCCTAAGGTCAGAGGTTGAGTCATGCTTTATTTCATAATTTGCTAGATGGCCTCATGCCATTTATCTTCTCAATCACTGCAAAACCAAATCATAAACAGCCTTAAATGACGTTTTTTAATGTGGTTGTCATGGCAACCATATTCGAAATTTAACCAAAGGTCCCAAAGCAGTCTGTGGATCTCACTAGTAGAGCCGGGACGGGTAACGCGGGTACTCGAGTAGGGTGGGTACTGAGTAGGACCCAGGTACCCACAGGACTACGCGGATCCATGGTGAGTCACGTGATATATTGTTTCATGACCAAAATTCACTGTATAACTACATGGTTACACGACAATTTTAAGTCTCTTATGTTCGCATTTCTTCGACTATGAACACGTTCCTTCTGTCTTATTTATGTTTTAACCACATGACCACATCGTTTTATATGTGTATCAAAATACATTCTGCCAGGGCTACTGACAAACTATTCCCAATCAGACAGTTTGTACCTGTCTTTTGACACCAACAGCGGGTACCCGGGTAGGGTCGGGCAATAGGGGTGTGGGTACCCAGGTAGTAAATTTGGACTCGTCCCAGCCCTACTCACTAGTGAGAACTATATTCACTCCATTTCTTTTCTTCCAATGTCTCAATATAGGCTTAAATTGTTTTTGCCATGACGCATAATGTAAAGTATGTGTATATACTCAATAATAACAGACTAAAGATTTGGACCCCAAAATTATAGTTCCTTCACTGCTTAATTTCAAGAAATAGTATATCCCATAATTCCTTGTAAACATGTACAGGACGGTGGACTATGTGAGGACATAATCGGACCTCACCTGTGAACACAGTAAAGTTTGCCTCTCTAAGAGGTCCACCTCATTCTGAAACGTTGAATGCACTTCACATATTTTTACATCAAGAAATATATATATATGCATCTCATCATGAGCGCATTTCAAATTAATAAATGACCATGCATCAGATGTTTCTACAAACTGGGGCTTGTTAGATTTCTACCAATAAGACCAACATTGACAGAACATATATTAGAACACCATGACTCTTACATCATGTACTTGTTAAAACATGCATGATTAATGGTTAGGTAAGCATGGATACTACGAGACTAAGATTCAAAAGTGAAGACATTGTGTCTTAGATCTCAGATGTTTTGATCATTGTCTCGTGCATTCCTATTCATTTGCATGAAATACACATTCATCCTTGTTAAATAAAAATAACAACTGATTGGTCCAGAGTCAAATTACCTCTTATGTCTATGTAGTAGTATGTAATTATGTATATATCATCAAGTGTATTTTAAGGTCACCTCTTATTTTAATACCTAAGTTTTAGTCTACACTCCAATCTAACCTGCTTCACTAATACAATAGCACAGTCACCCTTGCGCTTGCCTTCTCTATTGTTTCTCTGGTTTCTATTGTTTAGCCCCAGCCCCTTACTTTCAGTGACAGGGTGCATTATGGGACTGGTCAGTTAAAATTCACACTTGTAGTTGATTATGTATGGAGTAGTCGGTTCATCGCTGATATAATTGAGACAATTGTCACAGGTTAGTTTGGTTGAATTGTATATTTATGTGTTCTTATTTAGTGCTTTGAAGAGTTTGTTAAGGTGCATATGTATGGTTTCTTAACTTCTTTTAATAATGCTTATATTGTTAGGTGTGATAAATATATATCATATCAGTCATCGTATTCAGGTAAATGTAGTTAGGCTAAATTTGCTTAAATACCTTATGTAAGTATGTTTATAATAGATAATCTTAACTAGCATTTTCATGTTGATATTACTTAACTTATTGTGTAACTAAGCATAATGAGTACATTTATTGATAGACTGGAGCTATTTACCTGTAAATTAAAGTTCTGCACCTAGCTGCACATGTATGAATGTATGTCTGTATGATGAGGTGAGTAATTAGAATATATATTTTAGGGTTATTGTATATACCTAAGGATGTAAACATATTGATGTAATATGTTACACTGTAATTATGTTATATATATTTATGTTCAGGTGTGTCCCTGTAAAGCAAATATCTGATGTTGTGACATCATAGGGCACAGTGCCATACACCTGGTGAGGACATTTATATTTTGTATGTATTTATAGTGATATGTACTTTAATTGTGTGTTATGTATTAATGCATTTATCATCATTCACCTATTATTGATAAACTATGTTTGTCAATTTATTATATGATAAATCTCCTGTAATATTTACAGTACAGTAAGACAAAACTAATTATGCTAACTATGATTGATCATAACAATGTATATAATCATATTTAAGATTCTAATGTTTGTCAGTAAGTTATAATGTAATGATTTATTTGTATGTGTACGTATTGTGCATATTGTAACTCTGTGTATTTATTTTCACAGGGCTGTTTTATTTTGTATTAAAACAACTGGCATCAACAAATCAACCTGTGTTTGGTGATTCATTCACATAAACCACTCCGGTTACATTGGCGTCGCCGGCAGGATGTAACAGTTGTTGCAGTAAGGCACCCAGTGACAAGTGACAACGATGGACACTAGCTGTCCATGAATGAACGTGACAGAGATCTGTGTGCTCCAGGACCCGTGATGTGAAATTAATGTAACTACATAATGTATCAGTTACTTTATGCCATCATCTTTTCATGAGCTTGCCTCTCAGTGTATAGA